TTAATTAATGTAACTGAAGTTGAAAATATATAAAATAAGCATTTAATAGTTTGTTTGATTCAGCAGTTTTTAACTATAGAAGTATTAAGAAACATATTAGAAACAACAAATAAAGTTTGCAATTTTCTGTTCAGATACTTTAAAAAAATATTTTATTAATATTTTGTTAAATACATTTTATTAACATTATTTTTGAAGTTTTAATAATTTATATTTCCCGATTGCATATTTGCTAGATATGTTTAATAAATTAAAACCTCTGAATTTTTTTTAAATCCTTTATTAACTCTGAATACTTTGAGATGTATTTTTATATGCTGTCAAAATTATGATCATTCTATCCATAACATAAATGTAATTGTTTAGCCTGCGGCAAATCATAGGAGAGTTACAATTTTTTTTTTCAAATAATACAGCATTAGAGCTAGAAATAAATGTTGTCTTGTGGTAAGGAAATAAATATATTTTTAAAAAATGCACCGTATTACCAGAATTATCATTTTTATTTTTTTTTTCTCAAAACAATTTCGTTGTTTTCATTTTATTGAATTGTAATCCCGATTATTTTGGAAGATTGATTTAGAAATAGTTTGAAGAAAAATATGATATCTACCTTGTAATAATTTTCATGCTTCTTAAATTTAAAAGTTAAGTTCACTACTATGCTGTCCATAACATAAATGTAATTGTTTAACTTGCGGCAAATCGTAGAAGAGTGACAATTTGTTTTTCAAATAATGTAGTATTAGAACTAAAAGTAAAAGTTACCTTGAGGTAAGAAAATAAATGTATTTAAAAAAAAATGCACCGTATTTCAAAATTTAATAATGTTTGTTTTTTTTTCTAAAAAATTTCGTTGTTTTCATTTTATTGAATTGTAATAATGAATATTTTGGAGGTTTGATGTAGAAATAGTTTGAAGAAAAATTATATGATATCTGCTTTGCAATAATTTTCCTGTTTCTTAAAATTAAAAGTAAAATTAATTCGATTTCCTATTTTAATTTTTTAAAATTGGTAATATTTAGTATTCCAGCGCTTTAGCAGTATTGTTTTAATTATACCATTCGAAAATACCTGGCGATACTGGGGGTTGTGATGATGGGTTTATAAAGTTATTTTAGAACATATTTTCTTATAAAGCAAAGTTCACTTTTCCAAATAAAGAATCATTGTACGTGTGCATAAAATTATTATAATTTGATAATCATTGGGTTATTCCTTTTCTAATTCCAAATAGTTACCAGAATTTTTGTTCCTTCATGGCTATGATTTTTGATATTTTTGGTTTGATGCATTTCTTGGGAATAAAATTAATGTGCATGTTATATACATTAGATAACTTTAAGAAAAAATGTATATCTCGAGACAGAAATACAAGATGGTTGGCATATAATGACTTTTGATTTGACGTCATTTTTTTTTTCTTTATTGAAAAATGCGTAATTACTATTTCATGGAACGATTGCAAAAATTAATAAAACATCCATCTTATTTAAATGCGAATAAAATAGGCACTTTTAGCAGTTCGAGAGTGTATGAAAATGACTATTATAGCAATGTATGTTTACAAGATTTTATTTTAAAGATATGATTTGAATATGCAGTAACATGCTTTGTTTATTTTGACCCAACTCAATGACCTGATATTTCTCGTGCTGATTTAAAAAGAAATGATACAATAAGTATAAAAAACAGCAAAATTTAAAAATTGGATAATTAAAAATGTATTTTTCAAAAAGAACTGCTAAAATATAGAGGTTTTGAAGTTAATTATTTCATTCGTAGGATCCTGTTATGAGTCATTTTTGCTAAATTTGTTCCCAATAATTCAGAAATATTTTATATAGAGGACATAAAAGTTGACCATCTAGCCTACAGCGCTTTCAGCTACTCATCCACACTTCTACCAACTCGTTTTTTGATAGTGAATATTTTTTTTTTTTTTTTTTTTTTTTGAAATTTTGAAATCGGTTATGGAAAATTTTATTGAATAAAATAATTCAAGCCTTTTACTGGTTAGCAGTTTATCCAACCTTCGGGCAGTCTGTCTGCCCTCGGCGGTCCGGGCGGCTTTTGCCCATCATTTTCAGATGTAACCCGGCAGTTACAAAAGATAAAAATAGTTTGGGTAAATTTCAGAAAAATATCTGAGCTGAACTGAGTATTTAGAAAAGATATCGATAGTACCTAGGACAGATTTTTGCATGCAGATAAATGATACTAAACTTCAAAAAAGACTTAATTAAGTTTAATGAAATTATTTTTTAGTTTCAATTTTTATTTCGTTTTTTATTCAGCAAAATAATGGATATAATCTATTTTCAGTACAAATTATTATTATTATTTAAAAAAATACATATGAAATAATTTTGAATTTTACGTTTAAAATGTCATTTAAAGTACCGCTAATGGAATTTCATGAAAATAAACTTACCGAGTTTATTCTTCAATCCTTGGTTAACGTTTACTGGATCATTTTCATTAAATCTGTACAAATGAAAACTTTTGGGATTTGGTAATGCTTTAAGTATATCATCCCAACCAGGCGTCATCCATTGTCCAACTAAAGAATCGTAAACCCTGTCTCCAAAATGTATCAATCCAGTCATGGGATCCAACAAACCACCTTGAAAATCTACCGGCAGGTAAAAATTCGGATTAGAATCAAAAAGCACATGTCCATACGGTCCCCTATGAATCTCCTTCACAACGTCTCCATATACATCATATACCAATAACGGACTACCAGTATGGTCAGTGGCTATGTAAAAACTTTCTTTGTTCAGAAGTATAAACATTGGATAATTCCTATCGTCATACATCAGTGTAATTGTACGCCCGTCAGCATTGTTGTATATGTGAGTAACAGAATATGGTTGATCAGGATCAGCGTAAAAGAACTGAGTCACGTTTCCGACGTTATCTTTTCTCACAGATAATCTTCCTCGTCCATCATAATAGTAATCTATGTCATATCTTCCAATTCTGAAGGCCCGTGTCAGTTGTCTTTTCGTGTTGTAGACCAATCGCTCTTCACCTCTTTGGATAACGAACCCACGCCCATCCAATACGTAAGGCGTTTCACCGAAGCTCACTATCCTGTCGCCAGTGACGTGCTGTATGTCGATCTTGTTACCCATGTACTGCATGGTCACCATATTGCCGTTTACATCGTAATGGAACTTCCAGTGATCTCTTCCTACCATTTCAACGAGTTGGCCATCTTCGTCATACGAGTAGTTTTGGACTCGAACTTTGGACACTCCAAGATGTTTCATGTAAATTTTCGATTGAATCACTGCATTGCGGTTATCATATTGCATATCTATTCTGTATACCTATTGAAAAAATGAAAAAGATAGTTTTAATTCATGAGAATAATTAAAAACTCAGAATAAATAGCAAAACTATTTTTATATAGAAATAAATAAATGCATAAATCAAAACGTAAATATTTTTAATATTTAGCCAGTGTTCATTAAACTTCATGGTTCGCGAACCCTTTTCAAATTTAAATATTTTTAAAATGACTTAACATCGATGTAAAAATAAAAATGAAAATGAAAATAAGACTAAATAAAACCTATATTTCATTTATTAAATGCAATAGCCAGTATTGAAACTAATGAAAACATTCTAAAAGGAAATAAAAATTAAAAAAATAATTGCAATATTAAAAATTAAAACGATTAAATATTAATCTAAAATTTAAAAGCGATAACTTTTTTTTTTATTTTATTGATTATTAATTTTTTTATTTATTTATTTCCAATACATAAAAATATTTTCACGGATATCCTGGTGATAGGAACCATTTTAAGAATTTTTATATAAAAAGTAAAATATGAATATGAATTAAAATAAATTCATTTAAAATATATTTTACATAATTAAAATATAATAGTGATATATAATTAATATAAATTAATTAGATATTACCAGAAATTTTAGAAGTAGTCCCAATGAAATTATGATAAAAAAATAAGCAATTTTGAACTGATTAATAGATGACAGAAGTGTATTTAACAATTAAAAATATTTTAATTTGTTTAATAAATATATTTTACAATTTTAGAATAGTAAATTACATTTAATAGTATCGAGTTAAATATATCGATAATCATTGTGTATTATATATCAATTCATCAGTGAAAATAAAATATATAGGAAAAAAATGAAATATAAAGGAAACAGTGCTCTGAACTTTATTTTTTTATCGATGCTATGATGCTGCATACATATTAAAATACTTCCGTTGTTTTATGTTTATACTCCATGTAGTTTAAGAATATTTCAGTAGAATAAAATGTGCCCCCTACGGCACTGTGAAATGGTTTGGAAGCAATTTTAAAGTAACTTCCGTAAAATGTTGTTTTTTTTTTTTTTTTTAACTTTGTTTCTTAAACATGGTTGTATAGGTGTAAACAATGTATTGAAAATGAGGTACATTACCGTGAATTACACGATAAAATATTTACAGCTGCACTTTGCTTGCATATTTTAGGTTTTTACTTTGTATTAAAAAGTTAAAGTAAACTTTTAACAGTTAAATTATATTGATAAGAAAATCGAAAATGTTCGGTTTAACGTATAAAATAAAATATAACAAATATTTTTCAAGTTATTGAAAACATTAATTTAATTTAATTTTTTCTTCCAAAACAATTTGCTAATTTGCTCAAAAACAATTTGGAATAATCACAATTACTATGACACGAATATTAACGATAGCTGATATTGAAATAATTTCACTAAATGAGATAAAAAAGCTAGATGTTCAAGTGCAAGATACAAATATTATATTAAAAGACAAATATTACATAGAAATTTTATGAACAATAATTTGATATACGTACAGTGAGTATTACTTGGTGAAATAAGAATAAACATAGATTATTGGGGTTTCATAGACATTTAAATTTTATATATATATATATATATATATATATATATATATATATATATGTGTGTGTGTGTGTGTGTGTGTGTGTGTAGCCAACGGCCGTACCATGCTGAATATACCGGTTCTCGTTAGATCACCGAAGTCAAGCATCATTGGGCGCAGTCAGTACTTGGGTGGGTGACCACCTGGGAACACTGCGTGCCGTTGGCAAATTTGGGGACCTGAATGGCCGAGTGTCTAGCGCTCTGGCGCTCGGTGCGACAGGCTTCGGGTTCGAATCCCGGCGGTGCCATGGATGTTTGTAGTGGTTCGGAATCCACTTTAAGCTGTAGGTCCCGGTCATATATATGACTGTAAGAGCGTCACGGAGCAAAAGTCAGGCTTCTACCTACGGGTGCTCCATCACAACAGAAGCTGCTTCCTTCCCCTTCAATCATGAACACGTATGTGCTCGTGGGCTTGGCCAGCCAAGTGGGATAAGAAACAACAACAACAACATATATGTGTGTGTGTGTGTGTGTGTGTAACAAGCCCCGTGGTTACTACAAATTGTAGTCAAAGGCCAAATATATACCAATGAATCAAATGTCAAGAGTCTTTTTATCCTTGTTTCGTTATCAATTTAAAAAAATTTAGAAGGCCTCGATGGGGTAGGCCACGGAAGAGACGAAAGCATACGTCCAATAGACGAGAAAGCTGTAAATTTGTAATGTAATATCTGGCAGTCACAGCGGTCGAAATCAAAACCAAATAATTTAATGTATATTGGTTATAATATTGCAGTATCTGAGAAACGAAGCATAGGAGAAAATTCAAGTTCATAAAGAGTAATGTTAAGTCAGCGATTAATTATAGAAAGACAAGAAGATTGTTGAGAGAAAAACGTGGAATTCAAGCTTAATAGAAGTCAAATGTTAAATATGCTTATAAAGCTAAATCTGTTAATCCCATAATTACAGGTCAAGGACACAAAAAGAGAAAACGGTGATTTTTATACACACACATAATAATAAGCAGAAATGCATAATTAGGAGCCAATTTTTTAACAACATAAACAGGATGTTTAATTCTCTTATTTGTATTAGATCTGTAATCCGTATTTTATGTAAAATACTGGAAAAGGGCATTTTGTTTTAAATGATAAGTATGACTAATGAAAATATAACAGATGTATTATTTATTTTTTTGAATATAATATATATGTTATATTATAACATAAATATTATATTAATATGTATATTATTAATATTAGTGCAATGATGATGTCTTTCTAAAGTCCGTAATTTGTTAAATGAATATACCACTTTTTAATAAAATTATTCAATATTATGCTTCTAGTTGATAACAGTTTCTTTTATATCTCTTTCAACTGAAAAAACTATAATTAAAAATTCATTTAGTTCCTCTTTAGTGTTATGTACCACACATATTCATGATTTTTTTTTTCTTACATACCTCCTTATCACTGATGACAATGGACAAAAACTTCAGCCGATATAACGAATCTATCTGCCTTGTAACCGAAGCCACACCATCCGATATAATAGATTCATTATGGAATCGCTCATAGCAGCGGAAGGGTCCTATCTGCTCCTTGCGTCCCGTCGTCAGGTTCGTTGAGAATTCCAAAGGAAGCAACTGCGCACTGCCAATTTTCGGAACAATGGTAATCAGCCGCTGCATGCTGTCATAGGAGTAGGTAAACACGGCATTCGTTAGAAGGAACGGGCTATTGAATTTCATTCGCCAGCGGACCAGAGATGAACCTTTAGGAAGACAATGTTGAATGAATCAGGGAGATTCTTAAGTTACTACTGAATATGATGAATATTTCTTATAATAAGCATAAGTGTATAATTAGCTTCCGTTTTTAAAGAAAATAAACAGAGTGTTAAATTCTCTTATTTGTATTATGTAGTTCTGTAATCTTAATTTTATGTGAAATTCTTGAACTGGTTTTATTGTATTTTAAATGAAAAATATAACTTGAAATGATACATGTTTTAACAGTATTGGAGGAATAGACATTGAAAAATTGTTCATTAATTTGAATAATTAACTAGCCGGGGAATAAACTAACTAGCCGGGTATAAATAACTAGCCGGGGTAGTAAAGAATTGTAATCAAATCTTATTTACATTTAAAAACGGTAAAAAATTAAAATTTCGAGTTAAAATAATAAATTTATTTTCTAATATGCTATAAGTTTCTTTCAATTTGAACATTTTTTTGAATTGCCTTTCTACAAATGCCGGTGTAGGAATTCCTTTTTCAAAAAATATTTTGAAATTTTCTTTCATATGTGCGATTTTAGCATTTTAACTACTTCATTATTAAAGGAGTTATCAAATATTTTCAAGTTTATTTCATTAATTGAATAAATTTATTTAATTTTATTAATTAAAATTATAATTTTTTTTTCTATTACTTTTAAATTTCATTCAATTTGAACATCTTTTTGAACTGAAAACCTACAAATGCCGGTACAGGAATTCCTTTTACAAAAATATTTTGAAAATTTTCTTTCATGTGTACTATTTTAACATTTTGCTAATAAAAGTCAAACTAAACAAAAAAACATTCAAGAAATTGTTATTGTGATGATAAAATTACTTCATTATTAAAGGAGTTACCAATTAATTTCAAGTCCATTTAATTAAAAAAAGATTATAAGTAATTTTATATATATTAGAATGATATATTTCACATATTAACGTACCTTTATGAGTGAATTCACTTAAAATTTCAACATCTTGAGTTTTCCATGCTTCAGAATTAAGAAATCCTGTGTCACTGTATTTTCTTTCAATCATACCACCACCATACACAATCGCAGTCAACATCATTCGATCATCGTAGCGATACAAAGCTCTTCCAAGATCGCCAGGATATGTCTTCAAAAGAGGTAGCTTCTTATCATTGAAGTGAACTACGTAAGATCCTGTATTTCCGGGAGGGGTGTAAAGAAGTTTGTAGAAGCCTATGGAAACATAGGCAGAAAAAGCATGGCGGGTGCCATTGGGAGTAACCACATATTTCAGCCCTCCATTTTCGTCATAGTGATATGTGAATATACGACCACTAGGAAGAGTAATCTTAGCAGGCTAAAAACAAAAAAAGGCATAAATTATTTTAACTTAAAAACATAATGGATTTATAAAAGTAGCAATTAACTCTTTCATGATTAGAAGAAAAAGTAGTTGAGTTTTTGGAAAAAATTATGTTCATATACGATCGTACGACTGCAGAAGTACAGAAGTTAACTAAGATTAACTAAGAAGTGATTAAGAACTAAGAAGTGATTCTGGCAATTATCCAAAAACAAAAAAAATCTTGGAACGGTAGTAAAAACAAAAAAAATTATAAATAATTTTAAGTTAAAAACATGATATTTATAAAAGTAGCAATTAACTCTTTCATGATTAGAAGAAAAAGTAGTTGAGTTTTTGGAAAAAATTCTGTTCATGTACGATCGTACGACTGTAGCAGTACAGAAGTGAACTAAGATTAACTAAGAAGTGATTAAGAACTAAGAAGTGATTCTGGCAATTATCCAAAAACAAAAAAAAATCTTGGAACGATAGTAAAAACAAAAAAAATTATAAATACTTTTAAGTTAAAAACATGATATTTAAGAAGTAGCAATTAACTCTTTCATGACTAAGAAGCAATTGCATTTTGGCAGAAAGTTCTGTTCATGCACGATCGTACGACTGCTCATGCACAGAAGTGAACTAAACTGATGACGCGATTCAGTCATTTTTCATTCTTGGAACGGTAGCAAAAAAAAAAAAATGTATAAATCATTTTAAGTTAAAAATTAGATGGATTTAAAAAATAGCAATTAACACTTCTATGGCGAGAAAAAGAAGTTGCGTTTTTGCAGAATGTTCTGTTCATGTACGAGCGTACGACTGCTCATGTGCAGAAGTAATCAAAACTGATGAGGTGATTCTGGTATTTATCCAAAAATAAAGCCACAACTTTCTTGGAGCAATAGTAAAAACAAAAAAATGTACGAATCATTTTAAGTTAAAAACTTAATAGATTTGTAAAAGTAGAAATTAACTCTTTCATGACAAGAATCTGTAGCGTTTTTGGAAAAAATTTTGTTCTTAAACGATCGTAATGACCGAAGTGAACTAAACTGCTGAGGTGATTCTGGCATTTTTTCAAAAACAAATACAGAACTTATTTGGAATGGTAGCAATAGTGTTGCAATCTATTGCACCGAATATTATATGTCGTTTTGCATATGCCGCCGGAAATTAAATTTCGTATTTTAAAATAGTGTGTACAGTACCTTTAGTGCCCCTTAATACCTCCAAGAATTTCAGCTTCTTGAAATCGAAACAAATCTTGAGAAAGATAAAATATTGCTTATTGTTTACCTTTAAATCGGGTTCCAAACAGTAGAAAAAAATATTCTTCCAGCAAATACCAACGTGGAAAAGTTTTTTTTATAATTATATAACTGAAACTCATATGTAATTGGCTGGCGAAATGAATTTTCCGACAAATCTTTACGTTCCATGTTTCTTTTTTGCTGCTGACACTTTGCTATGTCTAATACCCTGATGCTGGCGCCTCGTTCTTACTAATCCTCTGCAGTTGGCGGCTTGTTATTAGTAATCCTACCAATGTTGTGTCTACTTCGAAGGTCTAACTTTATTTAAATCAACTCATTAGTATTCTAGATCTTAATGAGATGCAGTTTTCTTTTTTCTGGATTAAAGCTACTTCAACAAAAAATGATTGCGAATGCAATTTACTTTCGAATTTATATTTTATAAAGATTAGTTTAGTAAAAACACAAAACTATATTCTTGCTTCATATAATTAGATAAAATATATGAATTTTTAAACCATAATGATTATGTTTCATGTTAAATATAAGACTAATGCATACATAAAGTTTTTACAATATACATTACAAATACTATAATATTTCATTGAAATAAATGAGGGCTTAAAAATATTTTCATTAATACATAAATGCTTTATAATATTTAATTGAAATACATAAATGTCTTATAATATTCCAATGGAAAATTGGAAAACAAATGAAATATTGTATTCAATGAAAAACATTGTATTGTATTGTATGAAAAAATCTAAAATATTGTATTGTATTGTATGAAAAAATCTAAAATATTGTATTGTATTGTATGAAAAAATCTAAAATATTGTATTGTATTGTATGAAA